GCAGTTAGTGAGAGGCAACATGGTTTTGTGAGGGGGAGGTCATGTCTTGCTAACTTGGTTGAGTTTTTTGAGGAAGTGACGAAGATGATTGATGAGGGTAGGGCAGTGGATGTTGTCTACATGGACTTCAGTAAGGCCTTTGACAAGATCCCCCATGGTAGACTGATACAGAAGGTAAAGTCACATGGAGCCAGAGGTGAGCTTGCAAGATGGATAAAAAAACTGGCTCAGTCACAGAAGACAGAGTGTAGCAGTGGGAGGGTGCGTTTCTGAATCATAGAATCCCTACAATGTGGAAACAGGCCCTTCGGCCCAACCAGTCCACGCCGAACCTCAAAGCATCCCACCCAATCTACATATCCCTGAACACTACAGGCAATTTAGTGTGGTCAATCCACCTAGCCTGCACATCTTTGGACTGTGGGAGGAAACTGGAGCACCTGGAGGAAACCCACGCAGACACGGGGAGAACGTGCAAACTCTACACAGACAGTCACCCGAGGGTGGAATCGAACATGGGTCCCTGGCGCTGTGAGGCAGCAGTGCTAACCACTGAGCCAACGTGCCACCGTTGGAGGGCTGTGACTAGTAGCATTTCTCAGGGATCAGTGTTGGGACCTTTGCTGTTTGTAATATATATAAATGATCTGGTGGAGAATGTGACTGGTCTGATTAGTAAGTTTGACGATGACACAAAGGTTGGTGGAATTGCGGATAGCGATGAGGACCGTCAAAGGATACAGCTGGATATATATCTTAGACTTGGGCAGAGAGATGGCAGATGGAGTTTAATCTGGAAAAATGTGAGGTAATACATTTTGGAAGGTCTAATCCAGATGGAAAATATACAGTAAATGGCAGAACCCTTAAGAGTACCGATAGGCAGAGGGATCTGGGAGTACAGGTACACAGGTCACTGAAAGTGGCAACACAGGTGGAGAAGGTAGTCAACAAGGCATATGGCATGCTTGCCTTCATAGGCCAGGGAACTGAGTATAAAAATTGGCAGGTAATGTTGCAGCTTTATAGAACCTTAGTTAGGCCACTTAGTTGTGTTCAATTCTGGTCGCCATACTACCAGAAGGATCTGGTGGCTTTGGACAGAGTACAGAAAAGATTTACCAGGATGTTGCCTGGTATGGAGGGCATTAGCTATGAGGAGAAGTTGGAGAAACTTGGGTTGTTCTCACTGGAAAGACGGAGGTTGAGGGACGACCTGATAGAGGTCTACAAGATTATGAAGGGCATGGACAGAGTGGACAGTCAGAAGCTTTTTCCCAGTGTGGAAGAGTCAGTTACCAGGCACCATGGGTTTAAGGTGCGAGGGGCAAGGTTTAAAGGTGATGTATGAGGCAAGTTTTTTTACACAGAGTGTGGTGGGTGCCTGGAACTCGTTGCTGGGGGAGGTAGTGGAAGCAGATACCATAGTGACTTTTAAAGGGCATCTTAACAAATATATGAACAGGATGAGAATAGAGGGATATGGTCCCCGGAAGGGTAGAGGGTTTTAGGTGTGATGGGCAGCATGTTGGTGCAGGCTTGGAGGGCCGAATGGCCTGTTCCTGTGCTGTAATTTTCTCTGTTCTTTGTTCTTTCTATGATACTTGTCAGTACATCACACAATGCCAGTGCATGGTTCCTAAGTGGCCTGCAAGAGAAGTGCCATGATAGTTGTGAGGGCTTGGCAAATTGGGATGCCAATGCGGTGAGTGTGACTGGTGCCTATTGATCATGGTGAGATGGTGTTTGGTGCTGAGCAAAATGGAGGCTGCTCATAGCCAGCAGAAACAGAGAATCCCCTGGAATTGAGCTGCCCCACAACATTACCCAATCCCTCACCCCTTCCTATCTCTCATCTACATGCTATTCCCCGGTGACATCATCGAAAAGCACCCTGTTACTGTCTATATGTGCACTGACAACACAAAGCTCTACCTGTTCACCTCGAACCCTCCACTGTTACTGAATTATCAGACTGCTAATCTGACATCCTGTATTTGATGAACAGACATTTCCTCAAATTAAATTTTGGGTAAACTGAAGTCATTGTTTTTAGTCCCTGATCCAACTTTGTTCCCTGGTGACTGTCTCCATTCTTCTCCCTCGCAACAGTGCAAGTTAAGACAGTTTGTTCCCAACTTTGATTTCACAAATTAAATCCTGATGCAACATGAAATTTGAACACATGGATGGCCCAAAGATCATAAAGCAAGGATACTTTATTCCACTGGCATCAGATCATTACAAACATGAAAGGAAATTAAGATTAAACCAGGAAGTGTTAACAGTATGTATATGAAATGAAGTGTGTGGGTTACATTGGGCTGAGAAATCCTTTGCCTGTTTGTCTCCTCTTCCTTATGCCAAAGACACCCAGTTTTCCAGTGACTCCTCCAGCTTCCATCCCTTACTGTTACCACCAGCAGCCCAATACACTGAGATGAGCTTGTGTCCTCCTATTTCTCCAATCTCTCTGACTGCCTGTTTTTCCTCTATGACATTGTTCAGCCTCACACCTGTCTTAGGTTACCAGCTGCTGAAACCCCCTCATTCCTTGGCTTTATTTCCTTTAGATGCAACTGTTCCACAAACTCCAGGCCAGTATCCCACATTTCACTCTCCATAAACCTGAGATCATTCAGCAATCTCCTGCCTGTACCTTCACTTGCAGCTGGTCCCATTTCCCTATCACTCCTGTGCTCACTGACCTACATTGGCTCCAGGCCAAGTAACATTTTGGTTTTAAAATTCTTATCCTTGTTTTCAATGTTGCTGCTGATCTGAACATACAACACAGCAGTATGTTCAATTCAAGCTCTTTGTCGAAGTGAAACTGAGATATCTATGTGCTCCACGGTAGAGGTCACATGACTAAGAACGTTTGTGCATGATTGCATTTCAATCCAAACATCCCCTTTTTATACAAAAATATTTGCATGTATTATTTGTTAATGTGAGTTACCCAAGCTATGACTTAAACAAGCAATGGGTCTAGTTCATTAATGATGGTTTGCTATTCCTTGCTCATTTCACTTTTGTCCATGTATTTGCATACATAGTTTACATGATCTTTAAAATGTTTGTGATGGTGTATGATGGTTGTTTTCTTTCCCCAATTTCTGCTAGAATGACGTGCTCTCTGGGTCAGTTCCAACATCTCCTCAGCTGATTGCTAATTTATGCTATTGCCTCAGGCAGCTCTTACCTTTGATCTCTTGCAGTCAGAGACTCTCTGTTTGTCTGTCTCTCCATCAAACAATGTGGCCTGAGAAACACTATCAGTTTCTTCTGGAGCATGAAAGGTTATGAGCTTGAGTTTTCAACTTGCTTCTGCTGAGATGAGTGGCTTAGCTTTGTGTCTCCTATCTGGGATTCCAGGTCTTCAGCCTTGCCATAGCATTGGGTTCTCTGACTTGTTTGTGCCCTCAGGGTGAGCATTGCTCCACCACAGAGCCTCAATATTAACTTTGTGGGTTTCACCTTTGGATCACCATCTGGTTTAACTCTACTCAGGTCTGCTCATCGTGTACCAAGAAGCACCAGTGTCTATCTGGAGCTTTTCATCCTCATTTGATGCTCCAATTCTGTGGTCTTTATTACAAAACAAACCATTTATTCTCCGACCTGACTGGCCGACCTACTCTAAATGTAGATTGAATCATTCGAATCTTTATCTGACATCTTTCCAGTAATCATCTCGATCATCTTTGTGGGCCTTTTTTTGTCCAATTCCTGGCTAAATAATTTCATGCAACATGGTTTAGCTATTTGCAGTGAAAATAGTGTTCCCCATGTTTGCCTTGCTTTCTTTTGTTTTATGTGATGATCTCAGCAATTTTTGCAACTCACCTTTTAACCTTGGCCTTTCCATGGACACTTGTTACTTTTTCGCACTTTGTTGCACTTGGAAAGTCCAGGCTGCTTTTCAACATTGAGTCCAGGCCTGAGTTTCTTCTTTATGTTGTGGACAAATTCACTTGTTCTCTATGTCCTGCCGCTGTTGACTTACAAGTAACAGGGCTTCTCTGAGAGCTAGATTCTCTTCTCTCAGCAGTCGTGCTGTCATAATAGGACCCCTTATACCTAAGATAATGATATCTTTAATTAGTTCATCTTTTAGTTGCAAAATTTCACAGGTTTCTGTGAGCTCAGTTACAACATTTTGATCAATGGACTGTTTTTCACCTTGGCTCCTAATATTTAGGTATGTATTGTTCCAATGTAATGTTCACTTTAGGTTCAATGGGTGCCTTCAAAGATTTCAAAATTTGTGCTGTGTTTATTTTAGGTTCTTCAGAGATATCTGGGTGGAATATGTTTTGAAACTGTCTCTTCCCACTAGTGATAAAAATGTAAAGACTTGTAACTTGTCTGGTTTGCTCATCAAGTCTGTTGCTACTTCATAATTCTGCTGTTGTGAATGGAAGATATTACAGTTTTGCTTCATAACCCCCAATATTTCAATAGGAGCTGGTTTGGGAGAAACTGCAGCCACTTTTTCTTAACTCATGTTTTAACACTGGCCGGTGTCCTTCTGTCATAGCAGCTCACAGCTCTGCACATGCCTGTGTCTCTCAGTTTGTGGCTCTGCAACACTCACCAAAGTTTCATCTCTGTTACCATTTTTAAAGTGTAATGACATAGTAGTGAGTTCAACATGAGACGTTTATTAAACCCAAGATGTTTAATATCCTGTGAACTTCATGGTATTGGAGAAGAGCCCCTTGGGTCTGAGGGTGCATGGAAGGGCAAGAGAGGGAGAGAGAGAGAGAGAGTGAGGGTGAAAGTGCATGTGTGGTGTGTGTGTGTATTTGCATCTGTGAGTGAGAGTTTGCATTAACGTGTGTCTGTGTGTTTGTGTTTGTGCGTGTGTGTGCGCGTGTGTCTATGTCTGTGTGTGGTGTATGTGCATGTGAATGAGTGACTCCGTATGAGTGAGTGATTGAATTGAACTGAACTAGCTTTATTGTCACATGTACTCAAATGAATACACTGAAAAGTTTAGAAGTCGCCACTTACAGCGCCATCTTAGGTACAAATGTACCAAGGTACAGTCCTTAGGTACAGAATAGAGAAATGAAGGAAAATAATTACATTACAACTATACACAGTATGACAATAGGTCAGAAAAAAAACATGAAGCAAAGTTAAAAAGGCAAACATTACAGCCCCTCTCTGAAAGCTCTTCACAGCAGGTAAATGCAAACTGGTGACTGCTGGCTGCCGTTGCACTCTGCACTGGATCGCTATCCCCACTCCCACACCAGGCTGCTGCTACCACACTCTGCACCAGGCTGCTACCCCTGCTCCGCACTGGGGCACTGGCATCCCTGCTCTGGCTGCTGGCGTCCTGACTCTGGTCACTGGTCGCTGACATCCCTGCTGAAAGTGTGCACGAGTGAGTCAATCTATGCATATGTGTGTGTGTATGTCTGTGAGCCAAACGCTCTCACACAAAGACAGCTTACCTCCCTTGTCCTGCTCCTTCCCAAACTCCACACTCTGGACCAGAACAGGAGGAAACCCCAGGCTGAAAAGTGACCTATCTCTGAACCCTGCTGTTGTATGGATTGTGACAAGGCCAGCTTGGAGAGTGCATCATCAGAAGTGAATACCAGGTCAGTGTTCGGTCAATCCAACTCCCTAGTTCACCCTTACCCTTGTGACCAAGAGCTGGGGCTGTGTCTCTGTGTCCCCCTCTAGCTCTGCTTCTTGTGAGAAGGTGTAGTGATTGGCTCATAAAAAATGATGTCTTCACACCCGACCATTAAGATTAATCATTAAGGATTAATTGGGCATGACAATCAGCAATTATAGACAAGTGGAAAGTTACTGGTCTGGTGTAAAAACAGTTTATTTTAGCTGTTGGGTAACTGCATAACCTTGATTGTCAATGGGGGGCATTATTTTACATAATTGACACGGCGCCACTGGAATGATGTTTTCAACTTATTGTCTGCACAATGAAATATCTGGAAAAGTACTGAAAGTAATGGTACAGCATGTAACCAGAATAGTATTAACATCAGGGACTCTGTCACACTCATCTGACTTGATCTTGGAGCGGGATCGTGGACAGTGCCAGGAACCCTGAATTCCCCAGACCCCCCATTGCAAAATGAGGTCCCTGACAGGCAGAAGGCAGTGAGACTAATTGTCATTAAACACTTGTTCCTAATAAATGTGCTAACCAAGGCCACCAAACTTGTATAGCCTGTATATATGTATATTATGTAGTTTAAGTTAATAGATACACTCATTAGTTTGTATACGTATATATTAAGTAGATTAAGCTGATAAATTTGCTTCATATCAAAGCACACATGCCTTCTTGTAATCATTTTGACCAAACCTTAAAGAATCCATTAGGCATTTTCAACCTAACAAATCAGGTGACAAAAATGATTTTAATGGTCAGCTCTACTACTTGGCATTTTGTAACAGTCATATTTATTAATTACTCATTTTCTTAAATCATCAATGTATTGTGTTCTTGTTGTCTGATTTATAGCCTGGGATAATTGCACAGGTAAAATCGAGACTGTTCTGTGTAACACTGTGAAAGGTTTAACGTCATTCTTGAACCATAGACACCTGTGGAGAGATCAGACAGGGCTGCTCAGATGCCCAAGATTGTACATACCACTGGTAATGACAGCAGCACTGGCTGGGACAGCAGCACTGGCAGGGACAGGAGCACTGGCAGGGACAGGAGCAATGGCAGGGACAGGAGCACTGGCAGGGAAGGAGCACTGGCTGGGACAGGAGAACTGGCTGGGACAGGAGCACTGGCAGGGACAGGAGCACTGGCTGGGACAGGAGCACTGGCAGGGACAGTTTATGATGCAAACTAATGTCCAGGCTTGGGGATCTAGGGCATAGTTTTGAAATTGCAAATGATACAATGTGCAAGTGTAATAAATGGCGGGGAGATAGTGATGGACATCAAAAGGACATAGACTGGTGAAATGGATGATAATGGAATAGTTTAGGTTAGATGGGCTTCAGATTGGTTTCACAGGTCGGCGCAACATCGAGGGCCGAAGGGCCTGTACTGCGCTGTAATGTTCTATGTTCTATGTTAAATAGATAGGCACATGGTAGATGGAATTCAATGTTGTAAGGCATGCACTTTAGACAGGAGAATAAGGAGACACAATTGTAGACAATTTTAAAGGGGATGAAAGACATGAGAGACCAGAGGATGTTTGCAAACAATTTTTTGAAAGTTGAGACACAAGTTAACCAATTCATTGATAAAGCAGTTGGGATAAGTGACTCCTTCAATATAGTTCAAACACCAGGCAGTTATGCTAAACATGTATAAGACACTAGTCCAGCTTTGGTCCAACAGAAAGTCCAACAAAATGCCATTTGTATTGGATTTCACTTGTCACATCCTGCCAAACAGAGTCCTATTTATTACTACTTTCTACTTCATATTGGAAAGCCAGTCTTCTGTCCATGCCAATGTGTTACCTCCTACACCAATGAGCTTTTTTTATTCCACAATAACCTTTGAAATGGCACCTTATCAAAAGCTCACTGGCAATCCAAGTACAGTATATTGCTAGGCTCCCCTTTATCCACAATGCATGTTACTTCTTCAAAGAGCCACAATAAATTGGTTAAACACAACCTTTCTTCTGGCAAAGTCATGCTGACTCTTCCCAGGGAACTGCTCAGTCTTTTCCCTCCAAATGTTCATTCTGTGAAAGAAGTTAGATGGGCATTTTTGAACAGCTTATTCACTCTATTGCAATCTCTTGTCTGGATCTGGGTGGGTTTGTATTGCCCTGATGGTAAATCGTGCATTAAGTGGGTGGTATCAGGAAGAATAAGTCAGAACTTCTGTTTTCAATAAGGATGTGGTATTGGGCAGTTGCCCAGAGTTAGACTGTTTTATATGTAAGCAGTATGACAGATCCTGAACAGTTAGGGAAAAATAACTCATAGCGAAAATTTGTAGCTTGGGTATGGAGGCAGTTGTTCGTTTGCTTGCTGAGCTGGTTATTCTGTGGTGTGCAGATGTTTCATTACCCTTTTAGGCAACATCATCAATGCGACCTTTAATCGAAGTGTTGGTGTTCTGCTTCCTTCCAGATGTGACACAGACAATGAGGATCATCAGTTTGATTGGTACAAAGTGATAAGCGAACAACGGACATGCAAGGGAATTTCTGGAGGCCTGGTTCCCAACACGGGACTCCATTAACAAACCCACAGAAATAGACCTTGTATGCAGACCGCTGCTAAAACAACAGAACTGAAAGTGACAAGACCATCACACCAGAGGATCATATAAATCTGGAAGGAAGCAGAACACCAATGTTTTGATTAGAGGTCACACTGATGATGTTGCCTAGAAGGGTAACGAAACATCTGCACACAACAGAACAACTGGCTCAGCGAGCTAACGAGCAACTGCAAAAATAACTCAGTGGTGTGCACTATTACAGAATCCTGGAGGATTTCTCTGCTGTAATAACAAATCAGGGTCATCAGGCAAACAGAAAGATCCCACGGTGAGGTAGATCAACATTAATCTCAAGCTGCAATATCTGACAGAATAAATCTGATGGAATAAATAAACAGATAATTATTATGCACTTCAGCTGATCTTCCATTCAATCTCGGGATATGGGATTCATTGGCACTCATTGTCCTTCAGCTGCTTTGAATCATTTTATGAACTGAAAGATTTGCAAGATTTCATCAAAATACACGGTTTGCGGGCTCCTTGATTGGTCAAGGATGGCAGCTTTCCCTCCCTCAAGAATACTTGTGAATCAGTTGGCGATTTCTTGACCCACCCTATAGCCTCAGGGACAATCTTAAAGCTGGATTCAAAAGCTCAATACTCCCATTCCCTGAATTAGGTCCAATAACGTTACCGCCAGTCTATCATTCCCAAAAGTATTCTTTTTCAAGACCCCAGCACCTTTGGGAGCCACAGCAAGCTCCCATGTCAATGCTCCAATCATTTTCAGTTTGAGACCAAGAAATGAGAATTCCTCATGATCAGGCCTCGATGTTCTTTCCTTGAACTTTAACCCCTTGGTCTCTTTCTGTCAACTGGATTTTCACATCCTGGCTGTGATTCCTCATTCCGAAAGAGACGATGCACAGCTGTCATCACTCTAGTGCAGTTCCTCTGCGATCAGTCTCTGTCCTGAGTCTGTGCCAGCAATCGAGCTGTGAGTTCCCCTTTTCTCTCTCCAGCTATAAACCCTGGAACGAGGTACAGAAAATGGCCATTTAATCCATTGTGCCTGTACTAGAGCACTGCAAACTAGTCCCACTGACCCCTCTCTTCCGTGGTCTGGTGTCAATCCCAACCTCATTGTGAAACTGACGTAAAGCATCAGAAGAATGATGAATGTAAGTGGGAAGAGATTGAACAAAGGGGGAGAGAATGAAGTCAAGATTTGAGGAAATAAGGTGAGTGGGGAGTCAGGCAGAAGACACAGAAGCTTGAACACACGCACCAACAGGTTCATGAACAGCTTCTTCCCTGCTGTTATTAGACTGATGAATGGACCTCTCTAACTTCAAATAATGTTGAACTTGCTAATGTTGATCTTGCTTTGTGCACCTCCTGTGCAGCTGTAACCTTGTATGCCTCGCTCTGTCTACGCACCCTATGATCTTTATGTCCTTGTTTGCTATGATCTGCCTGTACTGCTCGTAACACAAAACTTTTCACTGTACTTCCATGCAAGTGACTACAATAAATCAAATTAAAAACAGGCTAAAAGGATGGGTCTGCCCAGGCAGTTCTGTTTGTGGGTTTTGGGAAGGAGGTAGAAGCAGGTTGTATCGGGGTGGGGGGACTATGAGGTAGGAAGCTGTGGAAGGAAGGTCCAGAGGAGATGAGGTCAGTTACAGTCATAGAAACTACAGCCAGATATTTCGTGGGATGTTTCATATTACGTTTCATTAACATTTTTAAAATCCCCTCTAAACATTTCTGAGACTCAGACAGGGCATAGCACCCTCTCAGGCAACCATTGATTGGGTTACAGGATTTTCTAGAGTATCATTGAATGATACAGGTAGAGCTTTTTTTTTATATATTCTGCCTGTATCCAGGGGAGAGGAGAGAGCAGCTAGAGGCCAAAAGGCTATTGTGATTCACCATGTAAGGAGACGGTATTCTATTTGTGGCCTAGTGTATAAATTCTTTATGAAGATAGTGTTTAGTTAGTAGTGTTATGTAGTAATTTGTTACAGTAAGCATCTTAAATCATGAAATTTTGATATGTAATTCTTTCAGCTATTAATTGGAAGTTGGAATCTCTTTTGAACAGTTATGGGTCTCTATGGGGATTGTTAGATGCCTTAAGCTCTTGTCCGACATCCTTACTCCTCGCTGCAATTCAATTTCATTCTGTCAACATGAACTTCTGCTTGCTGTCCTTCCCTGTTGGGGACTAATGGCCCCTTCTCGATGGTGTCTCTTAACCACTGCCAGTCAGTTGGGTTCTCTATCCTGGTTAAAGAGATGCTATGAATACCCCAGTGGTGCCATGTTTCTACATTCCCTGCCCTGCCCTCCATCCCCGTCGTCAACAACTAATAACCTCCCAACCTCCTGCTTTCAGTCAGGGGGGCACAGACATCAATGGGCACTGTGATTGGACAATGGAGTTTCACTGCGAGTTGTGACTGGAGGAGGGGGAGTCGCTGGGTGATGATATGGATGGAATTTAAGGGTGAGGGTGGGGGTGGGGGTCAGTGAGTGTGTGAGGTGGTGTTTGACAGCAGGGTCAACGAGGGTGTGTGTGACGGTAGGGGGCAGTGAGGGTGAGTGTGAGGGTATGTGTGTGAGGATGGGGATCAGTAATGGTCAGCATGAGAGTGGAAGTCAGTGGAGGTTTGTGTGAGGGTGTCTGTTGAGGGTCAATGTGATAGTGAGTGTGAGCGTAAGGATGAGTGAGAGTGTGAGGGTCAGTGAGAGAACGAGGGTGTGGATGACTTTGAGGTTCTGTGTGAGGGTCTGTCTCTAATGCATTGTCAGCTCGGATTTTGCTAACAGTGGAGATAAATGCTGAACGAATGATTGGTTTGGGAGAAGAAATTTTGGGAAAGATGAGAATGTTTGGGCAAAGGGCCGAGATGACGTTCAAAAAGGGAGAGATAGACAGAATCGCAAAATCAAGGAGGTGGTGGAGAAGTGAAGGAGGTGAGGGTAGACAGATCAGCTCTCTCACACAGAGGGGTACCTACACAACTGGCACAGTGCTGGACCAACATATCGCTGCAGCTAGGAGTAGAAGGAAGTTACTGGCCGACTGGACTGAGTTAGCGTACAGACTGTTGAACATAGCGGTGGAAATCACGTCTGTTAAAGCAATTGCTGACTGTAGCCAGGCGAAGATGGAACCTGAGAGGAAATGAAGGATTTCAGTCAGGGCCTGGAGAGCTGTGATGAGTAAACAGCACGATAGCCAGGAATTCATTGACCCAAACAGTCTCTGTACATAAGGACACTCATCTCTATAACCGCACTCACCCTCCATAACCCCCACTCACTCTCTATAACCCTGCTCACCCTCTATAACCCCGCTCACTCTCTATAACACCTTTCACTTTTAATACCCCACTGACTCTCTATAACCCCACTCACCCTCTATAATACCGCTCACCGTCTATCATCCCACTCAACCTCAATAATCCCGCTCACCCTCTATAATCCCACTCACCCTCTATAATCCCGCTCACCCTCTATAATCCTGCTCACCCTCTATAATCCCGCTCACCCTCTATAACTCCGCTCACTCTCTATAACCCCACTCATTCTCTATAACCCCTTTCACTCTTAATACCCCACTGACTGTCTATAATCCCACTGACTCTGTATAACCCCGCTCACTCTGTAAAACCCAGCTCACCCTCTTTTGCCCCACTCACTCTCTATAACCCCACTCACCCTCTATAATCTCACTCACCCTCTATAACCCCACTCACCCGCTATAACCCCACTCACCCTGTATAATTCCACTCACCCTCTATAATCCCGCTCACCCTCTATAGCCCCACGCACTCTGTATAACCCCACACACTCTCTATAATCCCGCTCACCCTCTATAACCCCACTCACCCTCTATAACCCCGCTCACCCTCTATAATCGCGCTCACCCTCTATAACCCCCCTTACTCTCTATAACCCCACTCACCCTCTATAACCCCACTCACTCTCTATAACCCCACTCAC